AGTCGCCCTTCAACCGGCTTGGCACTCCTTAGTAAAGTCGGGGTCAGTCACCTCGACCTCTCGAAGTCCTTCACTCCCAGAGGCTGACTGCTTCTCTAAGGGGGGAAGAGGGAAAGGCGTGCGATGCACGAAGTTCTGCAAAACCGCTCGCGCTCTCCTCTCCAGTCATCCGAAAGCAGGCGAGAGCGGGCCCCAGAGAGGAGACTCCCACACCCCACGCCCACCCTGAGCAGCTGCGCGCTCTGCTTCTGAGACGTCCCGGCTGTGCGACCACTGCCTAGCCGAAATCCGCCCGCCCGCCCGCGTCGCTTCCCTACTTGCTGCGCCCTCCCGCATCACCAGCCGCCGCAGAAGCGACGCCACTTGCTTCCCTGTCCCCGCCCCCAGGTAGCAGGTTCAGGCCCCAGGTCCCGCCTGCGCCCCTGTAGCTGCCACCGCGCAGTCGCCGCCAGGGGGAGACAGTCCCTTGTCAGGAAACGTAGTGTTGCTTCCCTGAGGTGAAGGTGCTCGCAAACTCTAGATTTCTGTTCCTTTCCCTTCATTTTTGAAGCTCAGAGAAGATGGACACCGAATCTGGGGCTGCTGGGGCGGTGAGTACGGCCGTCAGGGTCCTTGAGTCTGGGGTCAGGAGGTCGGGGCACAGGGAGAAGAAGCAATGTAGGATGAGTCCTTGAAGGGCTGGAAGGCCAAGGTTTAGAACCCTACCTAATCTCCCCTGTTTGTTTGGGAAGAAACAAAGTCAGGGCACCCCAGCGACGATCCTCGCAAAGAGGCTGCAGGCCCTGTCGGGTTGAATCTGAGGTCAGAAGTATGCGGACACAGAGCCTAAACTGGGTGTAAGCGGCCTCAGGGTCCTTAGAAACGTCCGGAAGGTTGGGCGAGGCCGCTGGCGGCTGGGCCATGTGCACCGGGCCAGAGAAACCGCTTTCCCGCCGAAACTGGCCTTGGCAGCGTCCTCGACATCATTTCTCCCTCCACAGGGACTTGGTCCAGCCGCTCAGGGCCAGGGGCAGCCAGCGCTGCCGATGCCTCCTCATGCAAACTGGACGGAGGGGATCCAGGGGCCTGAAAGCCTGGGGTCGGAAGGGGGACCTGCAGCTCCGACGGGCCCAGGAGACCCGGGCTCTGGTGCGCGCCAATCAACGCCGACTTGGAGGGTCAGCGGCATGGTGGACGGGAGGGGCCATGGCAACTTGTGGCCGCCCCGCCCCGCGCCCCACCGGCAGCCAATCAGCGCGCGACACGCGAGGCCTGCAGGGCCTGCTGCGCATGAGGCGGAAGACGCCGGGTGGGTGCCGTTGAGGGTTCCCGCCACTGCTGCTGGCTGGTTTGTGGAGCAAAATTTCTCGCTGGTTAGCCTTCTTTTCCCTCCCGCACTTTGGTGGGGAGGGGGTGGATCCTCGTGTCAGTGGCCAAGTCCACGATGACCCGAGAGAACCCGAGGACGGTGTCTCTGCAGCCATCTTCTCCAGCACCTCAACTTGCTGGCTTCCGAGGGGAAGGAGCGCCGAGGCCGTGACTGCGACGGTTAGCCAGCCCTCTTGTCTTCATTTGCAAAGTAGAGGATAGATTTCGAAGTTAAATCTCAAGGGAAGGGGGCAGGGAGGGCACATTATATGAGAGGTGAATTTTAATAAGCGGTTTAGTGCTGGAACTTTTATTTAGTGAAGGAACCTTACTTCTAATCCAGTTAAGTGCCGTCGAGTCAGTTCTAACCCATAGCGAACCTGCGTTGGGTTTCCAAGGAGCAGTTGGTGAGCTTGAACCACCAACCTCGCAATTCAAACGACTTTGCAGTCTGACGCATTAGCCCACAGCGCCACACCAGGCGGTGGTGGTGGTTATGTGCCATGGAGTCGGTTCCAACTCATAACGACCCTGCACATGGTTTCCGAGGCTCTAAATCTTTATGGGAGCCGAAAGCCTGTACTTTCAACCACGGAACAGCTGGTAGTTTCGAATTGCTGAGCCTGAGGTTAGCAGCCCCATTTATAACCACTACGCTACGAGAGCTCCTTGCCACACCAGGTAGTAGGTTACAAATTGGGCTACTAACCACATGGTCAGTAGTTTGAATCAACCAGTCGCTTTAAGGGAAAAAATGAGGCTTTCTGCTCCCATAAAGATTTACAGCCTGGGATTTAAGGTTACTTTGAGTCGCAACCGACTTGGTGACACACAACCACCACCATACCCTTGATAAATTATTGCTCGCCAAATCTGAGATGTTATTTACTGTTTATCTCAATGCTTCTCTGAGGGTCTTAAATGTTGTCCCTACTTTTTGTCATAGGCTATTATTCATCCAGCTTTCTTCAGTTCCCAGCTGAGAAAGCAGCTTCTTTTGAATAAATGACATTATCATTTGTTCATTCACTCAGCGAATCTTTATTGAGTACCTGATATGTATCCTTCACCGCTTGTATATGCTGCCCTCCTGAAAGGCACCTTCTGTTCTATGAAAGAGACAAGATACTAAGTATAATAAATAAATTATGTAGCATGTTAGAAATTGATAAATGGTAAGAAAAAAAAATTAAGCAGCTGGAGCCCACAGTAAAGCAAGACCTTTAGAAACGGGAGAATGAAGTGAATTGGGTGTAAAATTTTGACTTTCTTTTCTCAGTGAGTGGTATAGTCTGTCTAGTTTCTTGCTGCTGGAAATAAAGCACTATGTTCGCTTCCATTTGTTTCATCCCTCCCTCAATTAAATGTAATGGAAGTTTTGTTTTTAAGAAGAGAATTTTGTGAATACATTTATTTTTAATTTAGTAAATAGGTAATGTCTACACTCTGTAATAAACATAGAATCAATATTATATCTATACATATTATTATATTATCTCTAGCAGTGAAAAGCCAATTTGGAAAATAAAACTGAGTATACCATTGGAGTCCTGGTGTGTCACTGTAGGGTAAACACTGGACAACTAAGAAGGGTTAGCAGTTCATATCGATCAGCCCCTTCTTGGAAACCCTATACAGGTTCACTATGAATTGAAACCAACTAGATGGCACTTAACAACAACAATCCCAATGATACTTGATAAATTAATCTATTCTAACTGAGCACTATATATACTCAGCACTGCTGAGTAAAGTGATTTTTGAAGTGCAGTGGCACTGTAGGATAAGCACTGGACTGCTAACCACAAGGTCAGCAGTTCATGCCCACCAGCTGCTCTTCAGGAGATGAGTGAGGGTTTCTGCTCCCACAAAGATTTACATCCTTGGAAACCCTATAAAGGGTCTCTATGAATCGGAACTGACTTGAGGACACTTAACAACAACAACAAAAGACTGAGGTTTCAAATAACCCTGAGCCCAGATTCTCAAATTCTTCAACTAGAAACTTTGTTGTAATTAAGTGCCATCAAGTTGGTTCTGACTCATAGTGACCATGACTAGAGTTTCCAAGAAGCAGCTGGTAGATTTGAACCACCAACCTTGTAGTCAGCAGCCGTCCAGTAATCTCACAGAGCCATACCAGGACTCCAATTGGAAACTACAACTAACTAATTACTAAATATGGTGGGTTTTCTGTACTTTAAGGATGTAGCTATGAAATCCCATATTAGGGAGCATTGTGCTCTCTCCCATCTTATGACTGGATGGGACAACACCTGTGAAGTTCAGCCGGTAGCCCTCTAGTCACCACTAGCTATTTCTCTGTATATCTTGCAGAGATTAAAATAGGGATGGTGGGTTTATGGCCAATGAAGTAAAAGAGAATACTAAGAGAAAAATAGCTCCCCTGCCTATTTGTTTTCATGTATTTGTTTCTCAGAGTATTGGAATCATGAACTTCAAGTTTTTTGAAGCAGTCATTTAATATGTTAGACTGACTCAAGATTCCAAGTAATTTTAACAGAAGGAAAATATTTACAAGTTATTGAATTGGTTTCTCTTTAAATTCTATTCTAAAGTCTAGTTTGTTTCAAATGGACCTTAATAGTCTACTGTCATGCCTGTACAAAGGCTTATATATTTGAATGACATTATTTGAGTTAGAATATGAACATATTAATATATACTGAGTTCTTTGGTATAAACAGTTACAAAATAACATGTCTATACAAAACCAGGCCAATCTTCAAATTGGCAACGGTATTTAACATTTTTACTTTAGAGCTGAAAGACAGTGAACTTAGCTTGTTAGAGATTCTCTGTTGTTAATGCCCTTAAAACCAAAATCACTAGGAATACACCTGTAATTGAATAAAGTTTGGCCTACTGACTTGTTGTAACAAGGGAGGACATACACCATGGGAAGTCAAAGGGGACTTTAATTAAAAGGGTGTTCAAAAGAACTTACGATAGGATTTAGGCTTGTGTTAGGTTATTTATGTAGAAGATTTAAGGTTTTACTTTGATTGTATATTGTCAGGAAGTAGAAATAATTCTGTGGTTGGGTATGTTAAAATTTTTATCTAGAAAGCAAGAAAAATAGATTGAGGCTGAAGCTATGATCAGTTAAAAAAAAATTTTTTTTTAAGTCACTTAAATCCAGCAGGACAAAGGAATGTTTGGTCATTTTTTGCCACTTGGCTAATACTTGTTTTTGTCGTGTTCAGACATGATTATGGGATGGTTATGTTTTTATTTGAGTGGCCTTGTTTGATGTTGCAGTTCTCTGAACAAGAGAACACCATAGCCTAGAAGTACCAGGCCAACTGTGAATTACATCAAGGTCTAGTTGGTTGTGCTGGGCCAATTCCCGTCTTCTTCGGGCTGCTTTTCTCTTTTTCGAAAGTTATTCTGAGTTATTACTTCTCCTTAGATTTTTTTCTGTAATTGAGTAGATTGTGGTGCAAAAACATTTCCTATAGCTTGTGTTGTCCCCAAAAACTATAAAGTCTAATTCTTTATAACCTTCAAAATATTAAGATAAATGTTTAAAGTACTGAATTTTGTCCAATTGTGTTTTTGAAAGATATGTATCTTTATCTATATGAAAACTTATACCAGTGCTAAAAGGTTAAAAGAATTTTATTTTACAGCAAATATCAAATCAGACGCAAACAGATTCATTATCTTCATCCCCTAATCCTGTGTCGCCTGTGCCTTTAAATAACCCAACAAGTGCCCCAAGATATGGAACAGTGATCCCTAATCGCATCTTTGTAGGAGGGATTGACTTTAAGGTACTTATTTATGAATGTAACGTAGTTTTTTTTTTAAGTTAGAATTGTTTATTTTTTCAGAAATGTGTTTCTTTGTGAAGCTATAAAAAATAATGCTTTGTGTGCATAATGATCACTAGGTTTCAAAATGTCTTAAATTAAGTTCTCAATACCCATGTAGCTAAAAGTAGGAAACATATACTTGTCTAATTTCAGGTACAAGGAAACTGATATAGGCTCTTAGCTAATTAGTAACAGAGTGAAGATTATACCATTTCCTAACTTGTAGAAGTACATATTCTTCATTTCATCACACTAATATGAAGAATTTGGAGCACTCTGAGTCAGGAAATGGTATAAAGCCCCATGTTCTTCATTTCACCATATTATACTAATAAAGAGACCTGGTGTGGCACTGTAGGATAAGCACTGGACAACTAACCACAAGGTTGGTGGTTCAAATCCACCAGTCACTCCTCAGAAAGCCTATACAGGGTTGCTATGAGTCAGAACACCACTCGTCTGTCAGTTTGTCTTACTGTGGTGCTTACATGTTGCTGTGATTCTGAAAGATATGCCACCGTTATTTTAAATACCCGCAGGATCACCCATGGTGTATAGGTTTCAGCTGAACTCCCAGATTAAGAGAGACTAGAAAGAAGGAAGGATAGACTACTTCCAAATATTTAGTCACTGAAAAGCTATGAAGAGCAGTGGAACACTGTCAGATAGGACCAGAATACTGAACATTGAAACATGAAGGGCACCCGAATATTGTCAGATATAGTGCCGGAAGATGAGCCTCTCAGGCTGGAAGGCACTCAAAATACAACTGGGGAATAGCTGCCTCCTCAAAGTAACATTGACCATGATGATGAAAATGCAGTTACATTATCAGACCTTCACTTGTTAAGGAGGCACATTCAAAATGAAGAAAAACAGCTATAAACATCTATTAAAATCAGAATATGGAATGTAGAAAGTAAGAATCTAGGAAAATTGGTAATTGTAAAAAATGAAATAGAAAGCATAAACATTGATGCCCTAGGCATTAGTGAGCTGAAATGAACTGATGATGGCCATTCTGAATCTTGACAATTATATGATTTGCTATACTAATGACAGATTGAGGAGGAATAGTGTCACATTCGAAAGAGACGTAATCCAATGAAATGTGAAAATCATCAGACAATATCATTAATATCACATGCAAGGAAAATTTTGCTAAAGATGATTTTAGAAATGGCTGCAACAGTACATTGTTAGAGGACTGGCAGAAGTTCAAGCCAGATTCAGAATAGGACATGGATATCATTGCTAACATCAGATGGATTGTGACTAAAAGCAGAAAATACAAAGATATTTACCTGTCCTTTATTGACTATGCAAAGGCTTTCGATTGTGTGGCTCATGACAAGCTATAGACAACATTTTGGAGAATGAGTATTCCAGAACACTTAATTATGCTCATAAGGAACCTGTACATAGACCAAGAGCCAGTTGTTTGAACAGAACAAGCAACACTTAATGGTTTAAAATTAGGAAAAGTGTGTGCCAGAGTTGTGTTCTTTCACCATACTTATTCAGTCTGTATGCTGAGAAAGTAATTTGAAAAGCTGGATTATATGAAGAAGAACATTAACAACCTGCAGTGTACTGATGATACAGCCTTGTTTACTGAAAGCAAAGAGGAATTAAAAAACTGGTGAAGATCAAAGACTTCATCCTTCAGTATGGGCTGCACCTTGATGTAAAGAAAGCAAAAATCCTTACCACTGGACCAATAAAAAACATCATGATAAATGGAGAAAAGACTTCATTTTGTTCAGATCCATCATCTACATTGATGGAAGCAGCAGTCAAGAAATGAAACAACGTACTGCATTAGACAAATCTGCTGCACAAGACCTTTTTAAAGTGTTGGAAGAGCAAAGATGTCAGTTTGAGGACAAAAGTGCACCTGACGCAAGCCATAGTATTTTCAATATCTTCATATACATGCGAAAGTTGGACAGTGAATAAGGCAGGCCATAAAAGAATTAATGTATTTGAGTTATGGTGTTTGAGAAGATTATTAAAGGTACCACGGACTGTCAGAAGAACAAACAATTTTGTTTTCAAAGAAGTACATCTAGAATTTTCTTTAGAAGCCAAGATGGACAGCCTTTGTCTCTAGTACTTGAGTTACATTATCAGGAGAAACCAGTCCCTGGAGAAGGACATTGTGCTTCCTAAAGCGGTAGGTCAGAGAAAAAGAGGAAGACCCCTAACTAGATGAATTGACACAGTAGCAGCAGCAGTGGGCTCAAGTGAGGTTGGCTTAGGACTGGGCAGTGTTTGGTTCTGTTGTGCAAAGGGTCACTATGAGTCAGTACCAACTCAATGGCACCTAAGAACAACAACATAAGCCAGAACTGATTTGACAGCACTCAACAATGCCACACTAAAACTTTTTGAAATAATACTCCAATAGCCCAAATAATGTGTGATAATTTTTAAAAGACATTATTTAAAAACTATTTAATCTTAATAAAACTCTTTACTCCATGTTTAAGAATATCCTGATCAAATTTCTTTATATTATTTAATTGAGAATTAGATCACCAAAGAGTCCTATGTCCTGTCAGAACAAAGCATCATAATAATAGTATATTTAAATCATATAATCCTCTTGATTATCCTTCAAGTCCTTAACTGAACTCCTGCCTGTGGCTCAATTTTTAACCAAGCACTTGATAGATATATGGTGGGAGCAGGGGTAATGAAGGGGACACACAACAACACTAGTGAGGAACGCACACCACAGAATGGTAAACAATTCAAGATCAAAGGGGTAAAAGATAAAATTCAGAAGAGTCAGGAAAGAAGGAATAATGGAAACATGAATTACAGGGAGGAAGGTGGAATATGTAATGTGACATTGAGGGTATTTCAGTGCTGTGTACAATGTAAAACTGTTGATCTGCTCTGTAAACCTTCATTCAATTCACAATAAAAAGTTTTTTAAAATAGATTAAATAATATAATCAGCCATTTCAGTCTCTCAAATAAATACAGTTTTTAAGATATTTTATAGCATTCTCATATATGAGGTAATAGTGACCACTTACAAAAAAAGCATGTTTGGATATTGTAAGTGGGATCCCCTTACTTCTAAATGGATATATAGAAAAACTTGTAAATTTCTCTGCTATGTATTGGAAATTACAGGAAGAGTTGTATTTTTTTATTTTAAAAATCTTTGTGCCATTAGGGTATGATCTTTATAACTCATTATTCTGGTATAGGAGACCCCAGGTGGTACAAGTAGTTTTCATGCTTGAATGCTAACTATAAGGTTAGAAGTTCTAGCCCACCCAGCAATGCCTCAGAAAAAAAGACCTGGCAATCTACTTCTGACATTGAAAAGCTGGTTATATAGAGCACAGTTATAATGTGACACACAAGAGGTCATCGTGAGTTAGAACACACTGGACAGCAAGTGATTATACCCATATAATAAATCTGTTACAATTTAAAGAGAATTACTTTTTCCTATTCAAGAAAATATGCTTTTAGTGTATTAGCCAAAATCACTACTTTCAAGCAAGTGTGTGATTTATTTCAGTAAAAAATAAAGAAAAATGATTTTTCATGAGATACTTATTTTAAAAAAGATTTTGTTTCCTGAAAAATTTAATGGTTATCCAGTGGTACTCAATTTGGGTATTTTTGTTTAGAATTAATTTATACAGCAATCACTGGACTACTTACTAACTGCGAGGTCGGCAGTTCAAACCCACCAGCAGCACTTGGAAACCCTATTCAGGTTTGCTATGAGTTGGAACCAACTCAACGGCCCACAACAATAGTTTAGTATATATGTTTTAAAATGCATTTTCAGTACTTATAAAATTTGTATAATATTCTTAATTATTGAGACCCATCTGCAATATAAATTTTGGGGTTTATTAGTATAGAGCAGTCCCAGCTAGAAGGTAGCTGCTGGGGTTGTCTCCCTTATGCCCGTTTGAACCAAGAAAACTATTTACTGTAGGAGCAAGCACTCTCTCTCAAGTTTTTAAAATATCTTATATTTTGACAGCTATATGCTGCCCCTCTTAATGTTGTTTTTGTTAAGTTCTGTCGAGTCAATTCTGACCTATAGCGACCCTATATAAGGTTTCCAAGGAACAGCTGGAACCACCATCCTTGCAGTTCAAAAGACTTTGCAGTATGATGCATTAGCCCACAGTGCCACATTAGCCATCATTTAATTATCACAGACATCTTTCCATGTCTTTAACTCCTCCATGAAGAAAATGAACTGTCAATCGAGCTTCTGATTCTTTGCCATTGAAATTTGAAGCAGTTTGTTTTCAAATCTTTAAAATCTGCTCTTATTCTAGCATTGATTCCATTATGGGTTAAGTGAAATAAAAGGCAATCAGCTGCTCTTAGGTTATCTCAGTGTTTGACTTAATATAGTTTAGCGGGTTTTATGTTACCAACTGAAAAACAATAGTATATATAAGTAAGGTAGCAGTAGGCTCAAAAGTCATAGCTCTGCTGTTAAGCATGGATCTTTTCCCATGTGTGTGAAAAAAAAAAAAATTCTAGAGTTATATGTATATATAATTATTCTTGGGTAAAAAGAGTTATATCTAAAACAAAATAAAATTACAATGAATTTATGGCAAATACTTTTGGAAAAGGTGATATGCACCTAATATAAGACTATTTCAGTTAAAACCAGAGATGCAAAAAGCATGTTTGTACACATCTTGTATGTTATAAGACTAATTACAATTCAAATTTAAATTTTTAGTGTCATTATAATGTTCATATTTTACTGAGTATAGATAAATTATCTGATAACTAAATCTATTAACATTTATTGTTCTCAAAAGCTGATTTCAACTACTTTTGAAACTATGGACCTTTCCTAAAACTCAACTCTTCCTGGGGACTATACTGATTAAAATAGAAAAACTGCTGTAGACCAACATAACCTAGTTCTTTACCACAGCAATGGGCCTCCCTAAGCTACAGGAGTCAATAATAATATTCACTTAGCATATATTTATTATTGTTGTTGTTAAGTGCCATTGAGTTGGTTCTGACTCATATTGGCCATGTGTAGGGTTTCCAAGGAGCCACTGGTGAGTTTGAACCGCCAACCTTATGGTTCAAACCGATCTTGCAGTCCAGTGCTTTATCTCACAGTGCCACACCAGGACTCCAGTATATATT